TATATATATACAGTGTTTTATCTATTCATCCATTGACAGGCATTTAGGTTAATTCCATCTCTTGTCTAACAGGAATAATGTTGCAATGAACATGGGAATGCAGGTGTCTCTTCAATATATTGATTTCATTTCCTTTGGATAAATACGCAGTAGTGAGATAGCTGGGTCATAAGGTACTTCTATTTTTAGTTTCTTGAGAAACTCTATACCATTTTTCATAATGACTGTATTAATTTACATTCTCACCAACAATGTAGGAGAATTCCCTTTTCTCCGCATGGTGGATGCCTTTAAATCAACCTTCCAAAAGTTTTACCAATTTACCTACCACTTGCAGTATATGGGAATACCNATTCTCACCAACAATGTAGGAGAATTCCCTTTTCTCCGCATGGTGGATGCCTTTAAATCAACCTTCCAAAAGTTTTACCAATTTACCTACCACTTGCAGTATATGGGAATACCTCTTTCCCCCCATTGTCAGCAATATACTGTATCAATGTCCCCCACCCCCATGGCCCTTATTTTGGCAATCTGAAAGGTGGAAAAGTATGTTTTTAAAAATTACTTTAATCTCTTTAAATTGAATTATAACAATCATTAGTGACTTCATACACATAGATGCCATTTGCATTCTTTTTTTCTGTGAATTATCTGTTCATATCCTTTTTCCACTTTTTCTTTTGGGTTTGTCTTGACTTGCTTAATTTGTAGGCGTTCTTTAAGTTTTATACTCATTAAACATTTGTCTTTAGATATACTAGGGTTTTCTCCCAGTCTGTCAATTGCTTTTAACTTTACTTTAATATGGCACATTTTATAGTGCAAAAAAAATCTTGATTTGGGGGAAATCTGATCCATCAGTGTTTTCCTTTATAGCTTCTGAGATTCTTGAAATGCTTAAAAAGCCCTCCTTTCCCAAGGTTACAAAAATATTTTTATACCTTCTATTAATTTATACTTTAAATTTTTACATTAGGTCTTCAGGCCTAATTTCTTTTTATTATCACATAAACTAGGGATTTATTTTTACTTTCTTTCAAATGAACAGCCAATTATCCCAGCAGTCTTTCCCCACTGATTTGAAATATCATCTTTCTCATTTTTAAAATTCCCAGTGTAAGCTGCATCTGCTTCTGGACTTTTAAGTTTTCTCCACTGATTTAACCACGGGTCAGAGAAGGCTTTCCCAGGGAAGGAGGTAAGATTTGAGGGTGGTGGTTTAACTGGGCTAAGAACATGTCAGGTCGGGGACTGAGAGTAGGGCGCAGGAGGGCTTTCTAGGACAAGAGGAAGCATGTGGAAAGGGCCTGTGTCCCCTCTAAGAAATAAAAACAAATATAAAGCTCTTGCACATGTCAAGGTCCTCCTGCGATCGGGCCTGTGTTCCTCCATCCAAGCCCTTCTTGGTTTTCTGCTTGGTTTGGCAGCTGCAGCAGCTCGCGCTGTGTTCTCTCTCTGTTCCTATGCTCCCTCCCACATGATCCCCCCTCTGGCCTTAAAAGTCCTTTCTCTTTACTCCCATTCCTCTTCCTACCTGCACCACCCCACCCCATCGTGGCTTAGTACTGCCCCCTCCAGGAAGTCCTCCTGTCCTGTCCCCTCCACCCCCTCCCATATGCCGTTACACTCGCCATGTGATACTGTAGTGTCTGTTGGAGTCTGTTTCCCTCTTGGGGCTGGATATTTTTTGCAGTCAGGGATCCAGGTCTTGCTTATCTTTGTATTCTCATCATCTAGCATGGAGCCTGGTACACAGACAGTTTGTTCAATGATACCTGTTGATTGAATTAGTGATAAGAAAAAATCATTGCCCTTCTAAAAATGTCAGCTTTGTTGTTCAGCATAGCACATGCCCTGTGGCATAGCTAAGAAACATATCAGTTAGCTTTTCTTTTTGCAAAGGAGAGATTGTCACCTCAACACTTGTATTCATAGGTGGGAGATTTTCACATGTGATGCTTGTGCCTGGAGTTTCTTGGGCAAGACTGTGACAGATTCCTGGGCTATCTGTATTCTTCCAGCAGCCCTTCTACTGCATGTGTATTTTAGCCTAAAACCTCAGGTGTGTATAACCTTACGGGCAGGACTTTAGAGTGGGAAGAGAGAGGTTGGAGGAAGGGCATTCCAAGAGGGTGTGACAATAGGAGCAAAGCCCAGGAAGTGAATAAGTGAAGTAGCATGAAGAGTGTTGGGAAATACTTCACACGTGATCTTTGGATCATAATATATGTATTCATATTTGTCATGGTTCATGGTTAAGTCAAAATATTCACTCCACAAATGCATGACTGAGCTTCAAACTTTAATAACAAATGAGATTAAATGTTGAGCAAAGTATGTAAAAGATGTTAGTCTGAGGACCCACTGTTCTGGGCTAAGAATCAGAATATGCTTCTAACTAATAATTTATCTGATAGACAACTCACAGTTTTCCCCAAAACAAACCACATATATCACCTAATTAGGTTCCATTTGATTTGAAACTATGCCCCTGTTAACAGTGTGACAAGAAACTTCTAAAGTGTCTGTAGGTTCTCTGAATTTAACTGCTTGGTTCCAAGTTAAATAAATATATGTCAATAGACAATTTAAAGCATGCCTGAAAATAAAATAAAGTTCAAGTTCAGAAACATTTTTAAATATTCAGTAGAGGAAAACATTGGGGATCCTTGCATGTCAACTTTGGGCCAGGCTCAGTGGACTGTGGAATGAGGCAACAGAGGGCCTGTTTTATTCCAGTGTCCCCTGTTCCAAGGAACATTCTTAAGGAAGCCAGCGAGACGGAGCAATGAGGTACCCTCTGGGGGCCTACAGCTCCTCCTGCTTGCAAGCCGTGGTGAGTCTGGCAGGAGGCATCTCCTTCGATGCTGTCCTGTTACTTTGCCTTCTGAAAGAACATCTGTGAAGACTGGTTCCTGGTGTCCCCGAGTAACCCTTTTCTAACAATTCAGCCAGTGTATTTTACCCCAAAGTAGAAAATACTGGTTTGGAAAAATCTAGTGAATTTTCAGTCCCTTGTGACTGTGTATGAGCACACAAACCTAGCACTGGGCCTGTGAAATTCTCTCATGCAGACTAGCCATGGGCAAACCTCCCACCCCTTCCATTCCCTGAACATGAATGTTGACACTTCAGCTGCAGATTTATCCAAATATCCAGTGATCTGAGGCCAGGGAAATTACTTTATCAATTCTGCGTATGATTTGTATGTCTCATAAAAGTAGACTACAGCAGGTAAAGAAAAAAAAAATAAAACAAAACTCTAGTTGATTGGGAGCTTATTCTGTATGGAAGGTATTGGGTTCCAGAGACTCAGACTATACTTGCAGTAGTTCCTCATATTTTTCTTCCTTCTTCTGTTGGAAAATGTAGCAGAAGGTAGGAGGGTGAGGGAGGGTGAGGAGGTGAGGTTATTTGTATGGGTAACGGTTAGGATCAATTTGTTTACCTCCTCCCCAACCCCGCTACTTTTGTAGAGAAATTACCTGTGAATACAAGGATAGAGTAGTCTGAACCTGGGTGTAGAAGAAAAGCACAAGAAAACACTGAGCTAAGATGGCAGGCATCTGAGAATAATATAAAAAGCTTCCTCCCCACACCTAAAGAGCCATGTTAGTGATAATTGTGTTGTATGTATTTTTGCATTTTATCCTTCTCTAACTATTAGAATTTTCCATCTTGCTGGCCTCCTTAAGAATGTTCTTTGGAACAGGGGACACTGGAATAAAACAGGCCCTCTGTTGCCTCATTCCACAGTCCACTGAACCCCTGGTCACTTAACTGCTTATAAGATTTTTTTTTTAAATGTTGCTTTTGGGAAATATTAAGCTTTTAATTAGAGTTAAAAGTCACTGCCATAGGGAACAAATGAGGAAAATGCAGTGCAGTAATAGAGACTTAAGAGGAAACTATGCATTGAATTGCCCCAGCTCTCAGGAGTGGTTAGTTGGCTTGGAGAACTAGAGCACTTTTATGGAGAAACATCTGCCTGCTCCTTACAACTCCCAAGAGGCCTGACCTGGATCCTCCTTACTCTATAGGCCAATCTTGGGAGGTAAAAGGGGTTCAGAAAGGCTCAGACCCAAGGCTCTAAAGCCAAACCTAGTATCATATTTCACAGGCGTCTTTTGACCTGCAGGTAAACAGGAAGATTAAAAATTAATCCAAACTAAAGAGTTTCGCCAGATGCAGAACCTCATTCTCAGGGCAATACCAGATCCTTTTCAAAGGAAGGGGGAAGAAGAATCACATCTATCAACATGCGTTCTCCCTTCCTTTCAGGCTCATTTTCAACTTGATGGGTCTGTCATTTATGGGCAAGACTAAAACAAATTGATATTAATTCATATCCAGCCTCCAAATATTCACATTGTTCGCTTGTAGCTTTAAATAGTATAGACAATTCATTGTAGATTCTCGAAATTAATGACAAAAGTTACATGTTAATTAACTAGTCAAACAAGGATAACTTCAATGTCAAATACAAGAAACCCAGTAAACGATTATAATTTAATTGAATTAACCGCCCCAATGAGCATATATTCGATTGAGTCATGCTCACAGGCAGGTTAGAAAATCAGATGCTATAGTTAAGGAATTCTTTAATAAGAGCACAGTGTTTTCCACATTGTTTATTTCTCTCATTTTTCACTAGGATGTGGAGTTACATGATATAGTTTGGTGGTGAAGAGTAAAGCCTCTTGAGCCTGTTCATCTTCTAGTTCCACTACATACAAACTGGTGACCTTGGGGAGGATAGTGAATCTCACTGTGCCTCAGTTTCCTCATCCTGTAAAATAGGACCAGGATTAGTACCTACCTCACAGAGTCATAGTGAACGTTAAATGCATTAATACATGTCACTGGCACATAGCAAGCACGCTGAGTAAATGTTCACTGTTATCATTAGTACTAGTAGATGTTTTTAGAAATGCGTAAGTTTGTAGTAATGGGAACTGTGTGTCCTTGGTTGAATTCTCTGCTCTCCCTTCTGACAGGAAAATGGCAAATGCACAGGAGCGGCATCCTGAACATCACCAAGGTGTCTTTCTCAGACCGAGGTAAATACACATGTGTTGCTTCTAACATCTATGGCACCGTGAACAACACAGTGACCCTGAGAGTCATCTTTACCTCTGGAGACATGGGCGTCTACTACATGGTTGTCTGCCTTGTGGCCTTCACCATCGTCATGGTCCTCAATATCACCCGCCTGTGCATGATGAGCAGCCACCTGAAGAAGACCGAGAAGGCCATCAATGAGTTCTTTAGGACAGAAGGCGCAGAGAAGCTGCAAAAGGCATTTGAGATTGCCAAACGGATCCCCATCATCACCTCAGCCAAAACTCTAGAGCTTGCCAAAGTCACCCAGTTCAAAACCATGGAATTCGCCCGCTACATTGAAGAGCTTGCCCGGAGTGTGCCTCTGCCTCCTCTCATTATGAACTGCAGGACGATCATGGAGGAGATCATGGAAGTGGTGGGGCTGGAGGAGCAGGGGCAGAACTTTGTGAGGCATACTCCAGAAGGCCAGGAGGCCACGGACGGGGACGAGGTCTACACGATCCCAAACGCTCTGAAGCGAAGTGACTCTCCCACCGCCGACTCAGACGCCTCATCACTACATGAACAGCCTCAGCAGATTGCCATCAAGGTGTCTGTTCACCCACAGTCCAAAAAAGATCACGCGGATGACCATGAATGTATACAGTTTGAAGTCAAAGATGAAGAGGAGACAGAACTGTCGGCTGAACATTCCCCAGAAACTGCAGAGCCTTCTACTGATATAACATCCACGGAGCTCACGTCGGAAGAGCCGACACCTGTTGAGGGATCAGAGAGAGTGCTGCCGCCAGCTCACCTGGAAACTACAGAGCCCGCAGTGACACATGACAAAAACACCTGCATTATTTATGAAAGCCATGTCTAATATCAACTCCGAAAAGCTATGCATATCAAGAAAATCAGGGGCTGCTCCTTGTAATACAGATGTAGTACGCACTTGCCGCTAAGCCTTACCAGGAGACTCTCATCCCTTAGGTAGGAGAGATGCCATTTAAAGAGGGGAACCACCTGTGTGCAGCTTATGTGACTGGAATTTTCCCAGTAGAAAAGGATGCAAGAAACATCAGGGTGCAGAATTGATAAAACCGGACAGTAGGTGTCTATCCATGTGATATGAATTTTTGAGGCTACTCTCTGCCAAATACCTTAATCGGTGATGCCCTTTTGGCAGAGCACACTACTGTAAGATATTCTGAGTTCAGGAGCCCTGTCCAGTGCACACTGCGTTGCTTTCCTTTTAAAAATTACTGGTCTGCTACTGTAGCAAATGCACGTACCTGGGTTTGTTGCACCTTCTTCTCAGTTTTAATTACTTTCACTGTTCCTTTATGGTGGACTAGTTGTTATTATATTAATACTAATTGCTCTTTCTGGCTCGGTCCTCTTTGCCACTTTCGTCCTTATTTTTCTGTAAAACATTTACCTCAGAGGCTTTGGTGTCAGTCACCAGTACCAGGGCTGATATCTACAAGTCATTTGTTTTTGGGGTTTTTTTTGTCTTTTTTCATGACCGGCAACGGATCGCAACCCTCAGTGTCGCGCCCGTACCGGACCAGGACCGGCAACGGGATCGCAACCCTCAGTGTTGCACCTGCACCTCGCTCAGCCAGTGAGCCGCCGGTCTGTATGCGGGATCCAAACCCTCGGCGGGAGCGCCGCTGCACTCCCAAGCGGCGCACTGTAGCAGGGCGCCCCCAGGCCGGCCCCACCACAAGTCATTTGTAATGTTCCAAAGTAGTTGCTAGGCTCATTATTTTTTCCATTCACCAGGTCTATTTCATACATTGCTTTTTTTGTTTCCAATGAAGCTGCTGTTGTGAAACTGAGAAGAACTTTGCCCTGGAATAGCACTTTAAAAGTCAGATAAGAATGTGTTTACCTGTTCAATTCTGAAAGCCTTTTGGTGAGCTCAACCGAGGTATAGAGGGAGATTGTGAAAGGTTAAACATACCCACAATACCCATGAAAATTGCTGTTTATGTTTAAGTAACGCCATCTTCTAAACAAAGACTGATTCTTACCTGGAAATTTTATGGCTTCCAGGCAGAGGTATTTGATGAATTCCTGTAGGCTGCAGAATAGTGGCTTCTCAGAAGGGCTTGCAGGGACCACATGCCCTCAGATGACTCAAACACTTGATTTAGGGTAGCGGATATAAGGATCTGTGAAGCTGTATAGCCAGTTCCACTTTCGTGAACTGTATATTGACTTGTTGGTCCTTTAAGGGAGAGTGAAATGTTATGGTAATGGCATAGGGAACTGTGCCATCAAATTTTATGCCAAAATTATTGAATTATTATTCAGTCCCACAAGAAAGCAGTTATATGCGAGGCAGCATGATGTTATGGAAAGAAGACGAAACTAGTAATCCAAAGGCTTAATCCCTTACCTGACTGTGCCAGTAACCAGCTGCCTGACTTTGGGCAAGTCTGGGCCTCAGTTTCCTTATCTGTAAGAGGGGGTAGACTAAATGAGTTCTGAGAACCATTGAAATGGACTCACTCTGTCACAGAACCAAACCAATATTAACATCCTTGCTATTTTTCACAATTACTTTAAAGATTTTGGCTGTCGTCTCTGGGTTCACCTAACATTTTGTACTCCATTGCTTACTCAAAGAAAGCGGTCTGGTTTTGAAAAATCATAGCATTTTAAACAAACTGTGGATCTTTTCCCCATTTCCACCCCCCACCCTCCAAAATCATTCGGACCACTTCTACAATTTAAATTTAATCTCGGTGACAATGAGTGGTGTTATGTCATTTTAACTTACAAGCAAGGGAGACAGGAACCTTAAAGTAGGTATAACAGCCATGGCCATGTCAAGTGATGGTGTTACCATGTCAGAGGTCATGTGGGCCATGTTGATAACGAGGGAGTAGACCCAGATGTTAATTTCTTAACACTGTTGCCATCTGGGGAAGTTACCTTGGGCAACTTCCTTCCTCTCTCTGAGGTTTAATCTTTTTTCATCTGTAGTCCCTGATGGTCCACAAGATACCTTCTAGCTCAAACATTTGTAGTTTTATGGAAAGTTTGTGTCTTTCATGATAACCCCTGTTGCACAAGACAAGCAAAATTGGGATCAAAAATGGGTACACAAGACTGGGTACTTATGCTATCCAAACTTTACAACAAACATCTGGCTCTGTAACTTAGGGCAGTGGACTTGGTTTTAAAGGTGGCCTTGACAGGTCTATTTCTAGTTAACTGGTGTGGAAGGCAATGTGACAAGACATGGAGTTTGATCAGACATCTCTTGAAAAGGAGCAAACTATTGGCATCCAGTTAGAAGTGTCTTGGGTAGTTACATAAAGAAATTAGTCATGAGCAATCAAGAGAAACCATGACTCCTGTTGGGTTCTCTGAACTAGGATTCTATGTATTTGGATAGCAAAAAAGTTTTAACTTCCAGCTCTTAGAGTATAAAAATTTTCCAGTTGTCGTGGAGGTCAACAAATTCTTACCATGGATTTACACCCCCAAAGCAACAACAGAGACTTAAGCTTGTTTTGTGATATTGTGTGAACTTTTCCCCATTCCATTTAGTTCTCATTCCACCCCAACCCATGTGCAGATTTCCACATGGAAACTACAGGAAAAGGCATCCATTCCACCTAGACATTGATTAGTAAGCTAAAAGTGGACGGATATTTTATGAAGCAAGAGCAGAAATGTATGATCAAAAAATGTTTTCAGATTGTTTTTTTGCTTCTTTAGACAGCAATGGTGAGGTAGATTATATAGATTTTCAAAACTTTCTCCCTCTTTACGGCATCAAAATGTTCTTATAATTTGGTAATTAGAAACCTAAAGGAAGGTTGGCTTCCAATGGGAACTCTCCTTCAAGAAATTCTACACTCTTCCTATCCATTCTATAGCTTCTTTATGAAATGAGAGGCCCTCCTGCTAGAATAGAAAATGTAGACCTCATGACTTTCAGCTAATCTTTCAAAGATAAAGTGAACTGTTCAGCTTCATAGGAATTCATAGGAGTGTGACAGAATGTGTGTGCATGTACACACTCACGCACATTGGACTCATTTGGGCAGTTTTAAGACTAAATTCCAAGCCATTTCCTTTAGGTCTTATGTAGTCATTCTTAAAATCAAACTGGTTTTGATTTCTGAGTCATCCTGGTCATATCTTTAGCAATTTTTTTTCTTGAAATTCTGAAAATGATTTACATATGTGTGCATATTTAATTCGCTTAGATGATCTGTAAACTTGGATGGTATTTATTCTAAATGGGGGAAAAACAGATTTTTATATGGAAATCTATGTAATTTATAATGGTTTTGTTTTATATATTATATTTTCATATCTTTAGGGCACATCTACTACTATTCTCATCTTTTTGTATATCATACTTGGAAAAAGAAATACTAATACTTGACTAAAATCTCTAGGAACCAAATGTGGTATATATGATATGTAACATATGGAAATAGCTCTAAAGATATCTGACTATCTCACCATCCCAAGCATTATTGTGCCATATCATTACATCCAGAATGAATTGTCTTGGGTGCTTATGAGCATTCCTTTTTCTCAACTAAGGCTAAAAGGCCTGACATCCCACACAATGGATTCTGGAATCAACTTCCCTTCTTTAATTTTTTATTGTTTGTTTCATTTTTAATTGCACAAGTCCATGTTGTTTAAACTTCCTTTTGAAGGTCAAATGTGAGATAAAAAGAAAGCAACTTCATGGAAAGACTGAATGAATTTAACTATGCTATGTAAATTATTTTAAAGGACTGATAATGTTTTAAATCTAATGCTTGGATTGTTATTTACTGGTGATCTAGGATCTGCTCAGCTCTTTAGCACATGAAGAAAATGTAAGGTACAAAGAATATTTGCTTATTTTGAACAGGCACATTCTAAATGTAGTGCAGCCAACACAGATCAATTTGACTATATAGAAACACCAATCCCAGCCACTGGAAGAAATATTTTAGAATGACAAATCAGATAGCTGTTATTATGCCATTTAAAATACAGTGTTTTATCAGTGCTAAAACTCTTAAATGTCATTCCCTACAGTTCTGTTAACAGGGGATTTCCTTTCAGTGTTTCATTTTGTAAGAAAATAGAGCATTTAACTTATATTTCAGATACTTTTGTTTTCTCAGCACAGTTCAACAGGTCGTTTACCTGTTTTCACATCTTTTTGGCAGTCCTTTAAGTAATTCCTGTTTCTATTCTTGCTTTTTAAACAAACTTATTAGTACTCTTTAAATATCTACCAAATCTCATTCTACGAGGGTACTTCAAAAAGTTCATGGAAAAATAGAATTAAAAGATAATATGAATCTTTCCATGAACTTTTATACGAATTTTTACACGAAGACCCCTCATATATTCACACGTATTTTGAGCACCTGTTATCTTCCAGATATTGGTCATTTTTACATTCACCTATTCATTTAAAAATCCTTCAATAGATAACAAAGTTCATTTTCCTAATGGCTTTTTTAGGTTTTTTTCAGTGATTAACCAGGTTTGGATTAAACAAATCAACAGTGGGGGAAAAAATCAAAACAGAATTATTTTCCAAAGGACTGAGCATTTTATCTGTTGTACAAAGAAAATATCATATGAAGATAATAATGATCTTTAACTGAGTTTTTTTAGAGATGAAATTTATAAAGGGGCTAGTACTAAGAATCCTACAACCAAATTGAAGCTAGAGAATATAAAAATAGAAAGCAAAGAGTTCTAAGAATATTCTAGCATAAATTATGTTTATATAACTAATAATAAAAGTCTCCAAATGTATCTCTCAGATGCCATAGAGCTGCTAACAGTGAGTTACAGTCAAAGAAGATGCTTGCACTTATGTTTGGTTTGCTGTATTTTAGTAGTTATGGATGTCCTTTGTTAAAATTGGAAAATAAGATGAAAAGTGTATCTGGCACAAATGTCAATCTGGTGATTTTGAGAACTATAAAATGTTCTCTTTTTAAAAAATTTAAAGATGTATACAAATGACTAATATATAAGTTGATATTATAGTAGCAAAAACAAAACATCATGTGATCCATCCTGTATTTTGATTGTTGCTTTAATAAAGGATTTGTGCAGGTATGTGGAATGTGTGTCGTGTCCTACCTAAAGGGCATGTAATTGTGGCCTGATTTACTCTTTCCAGTGATAGGAAATCTGTAGCCAATTCTTATCCCTACCTTTTGCTTCTGTGACATTTCCTGGGAAAAGGGGAAAATGTAATTTTCATGTACGACTACAAAATTTTATCCAAATTCAAGCCTTCATTCTGCCCTGACAAATTTTATAGCAATTAATCTTTATCTATCTCAAGAAGTACTTTTTAACATGTAAAATCAAGCTTCTGTAGAGAATCCAAGAATCTCAGAAGCCCAGAACATTCCACAGGGAGAAGTCTTAAGTAGCAGAACTGCTACAAAACACCTTGACAGCACC